TATATACAAGATAGGATACTATCCATTGTTGAAGAATAATGATGAATCTGCAAAGCACCTTACAACATGGATGAACCTGGAGGATATTAAGCTGAGTGAATCTAGTCAATCATAAAAGGACAAATGTTGTATAGACTAATGTGAAAAGTTAAGAGGAGGTGTTCTTGATAAAGGAAACAGTCTATGATGGTTACAGGGGGAATGGAACGGGCCGTGGAAACTATTCATGGGCTATAGAGTTAAGTCATGTTAACATGAGTGACAGGGCAGGCAATGTACAATGGGAGGCAGGCTGGCAGAAGAAAGACCGCGGGAGACAAGGGAGGATGTGATCCTTACAGTGAATAGAGGTAAATACTGTTAACTGACGGTACATGGAGGGGATTGCAGTCATTGTAATGAAGCTAAGTATATGATTTGCTGAATGTAAAACTGATGATATGCTCTGTAAACGTTCACTCAACTCACAATAAAAATTTTAAAAAAAAGATTAAAATAACAGTTACAGAGTCCTGGTGTGGACCTGTAGGATAAGCACTGAACTGCTAATCTTAAAGTCAGTGGTTCAAATCCAATAGCTGTTCTTCAGAAACCCTATACAGGGTCACTATGAGTTGGCATTGACTTTAGGGCACATAAAAGCAACAGCAATTACAGTTCCAGTTATGATAGTAATGAACACAGTCATGAATACTTTAATTTTTTGTTTTTGTTTGTTTTTAGTTGCACTGTGGGATCAGCACTGGACTGCTAACCATAAGATTGGCGGTTCAAACCCACCAGCCGCTCCTTAGAAAGCCTACACAGGGTCATAATGAGTCGGAACCTACTTGATGGGACAACAACAACAAATTGTTGATGGCTAGATCAACACTAGCATGTCAGTATGCTTGAGTGCAAAGTGCGAGTTCTTCAAAATGAAGAACAATTCAGTGCTCCTGTCTTTTTCATTTCTTTTAGTATGCTGTGACTTATTATAGCTTATCATCCTTAGTTTTACCAGTTGCATTATTTCACGCCCCCAGCCCTTACTAAAATGCAAGTGGCTAAAAACCTCATATGTATGCGAAAGCAGGGCAGTGAATAAGGAAGACCATAGAAGAATTGATGCTTTTGAGTTATGGTGTTGGAAGAGAATATTGAATGGGCTGCCAAAAGAACCAAAAGATCAGTTTTGGAAGAAGTGCAGCCAGAGTGCTCCTTGGAGGCCAAGATGGCCAAACTTCGTCTCTCATACTTCGGACATATTGTCAGGAGGGACCAGTCGCTGGAGAAGGATATCATGTTTGGTAAGGTGGAGGGTCAGAGAAAAAGAGGAAGACCCCCAATGAGATGGATTGGGCAAGTGGCAACATCGATGGACTCAAGTGTGGCAACAGTAGTGAGGTTGGCCCAGGATCGGGCAATGTTTCATTCTGCTGTGCATAAGATCGCTATGAGTTGATACCGACTCGATGGTACCTAACAATAACAACAACAATGGTTTCTGGTAAGCAAACATGGAGATAATAACACAAGCATAAGCAAAAAGGTGTTGGTAGAGATGACACTTCTACCTCTAGCATGAGCTCTACTGAAGGTACCCTCAGGTCATGAGGATATTTTTAAAGCAGTGATATGAATACATTTCCATTATTATATGATTCTAATGCAAAAGTGATGCATGTATGCTACCCAGGACTGCAACTAGGGAGAGATTGTTGTTATTATGGGCTATCAACCCTGTATGGGGTTTCCAAGGAGCAGCTGCTGGGTTTGAATTGCCGACCTTATGGTTAGCAGTGCAGTGTGGATCTTACAGTGCCACACTAGGAGTCCTAGGGAGAGGTAAGTAAGTGAGTGCATTCATGTTGGTTGTAACATTTAAGGGCACACCCCAAACTCAATAGACTAGGCAAATATTTTTAAAAAGTAAAAATTAACAACAAGAAAATCCATGATTAAGAAAATACGAAATTATAAATACGGACAAGATTGGTATCTTAACCATTCATACATTTACACTTAAACCTGAAGATAGACTTCTTTAAGTTAGTTTTCAAACTTGGGAGAGCATCGCTCTACCATAGGCACTGGACTACAAACCACGAAGTCAGCAGCTGGAGCCCACCAGTCACTCTACAGGAGAAAGGTGAGGCTTTTCCATTCGTGAAGAGAAGTACATCCTTGGAAATCCTATACAGGGCCGCTATGAGTTGGCACCAACCTGATGACACTTAACAATGACAACATTAAAAAATATCTTCCAAGTAAAGCATTCCAGAGTGTTTTGAACCCATTTGTTAAAAAATATTAAAATATTCTGGTTGCTGTCAGGAAAAGTATGACTTGAATTTCAACAGAAACCTTTGCAGAGTGGATGGAACTGTTAAAATGGGTACTTGCATTAATAAGAGCAAAGATGTACTTTTTCCCTGGGATGTACACATTTTTGTAAATTACGTTTCTCAGCTTCTGACAGCCATTAAAACAAGTACAGAAATAACCTGAACATTGAATCTGACATTAATTTTCAGAAAGCATTAAAGATTTTTGTATCTAGTCAATCATACTAGTTTCACTAAATATTTTTAGTGGAAGGAACAAGGATTTCTAAAATATTTAAAAAAATAACTTCAAATGATTTAAAATATTCTTCTAATCTTTATGTTACTCTTATTACATTTTAAGATGCTTTAAGATGCTATACACAACAGAACTGTATATAACTTACATAATATCTTTGATAAACAGAGAGAGGAATGTAATAATTTTTTTTTTTTAGAAGTTTGAGAGCACCAGTATGGGTAGTTAAAGCTGTGGGTGTTTAAGAACATGACAGGATTACATTATCTCAGCAGGCTGTAACATCACCATAGCTGGGGAAGTCTTTATGAAGGTCACCTCATAGAGTCTTCAAAAGGAAGGTTTGAAGGTTTGTTATTAAATGCTGTTCAATCAGTTCCTACTCACAGTGACACCTTATAGAGTTTTCAAGGAGCCACTGGTGTGTTTGAACCACCTGAACTTGCTGTTCAAACTGACCGTGTGGTCCAGTGCTTATCCTGCAGCGCCATTTGGAAAAATAACTATTGCAAATTGTGTTTTGTAGAAAACAAAGCATGATGCTTACTGTTGGAGATTGTTGTTAAGCGCTATTTAGTGGGTTTCTACTCATAGCGATCCTGAGAGTGTTTACAAGGAGAGTCTAATGGGCTTGAACCGCCCCTCTTGCAGTTAACAGTGCAGTGCCACACCAGGATTCCACTGCTGGAAATTACTCTTAAAACCACAAGGTCAGGGGTTCAAACTCGCCAGCTGCTCCTCAGGGTGGTTATGAGTTGAAATCGACTGCATGTGACATAACAAGAAAACATTTTTAAAGAGCATGGTGTCTTGGTGTGATGCTGTAGGGTAAGCACTGGACTGCTAACCACAAAGTTGGTGGCTCAAACAACAACTCCGAGACTATCTCCCTGTGGATCTTGAACCTATTGGGGAAGGAACTTCCCTTAAAGCACCCCTCTAATGGGACTGAGAAGTGACACCACTTCCAAGGGGCAAGGGCTGTGGCCTCACCTAATAGTAAGTGGATGCAGAGGTCCCTTCAATGAAGTAAGCAGGATTGTTAAGTGCTGTTGAGACGGTTCCGACTCATAGCGACCCTATATCGGCTTTCCGAGCAGCGACTGGTGGGTTTGAACTGCCGTTCTTGCAGTTCTAGTTCCAGTGCTGATCCTACAGCGCCACACCAGGAGTCCCAGTAGGAGGATGGAAGAGGGTGAAGAAAATGGGGAGAAGGGACATAAATAAACGCAGGGAGGCCTGTTTGAGGGCGGAGGCGGGCAGGTGCTTTCAGATAGGAAGAAGCCAGGGGTATTTGAAGGAGGCTTGTGGTTGGGACACTTTTTTAATGTTAAGGGAGAAAAAAGTAATAGTGGTACAGTCAGATAAGGACTGAAGGTTCCAGTCTCCTCCCTGATAAGCAGAGTCCGAGCAGGTATAGAAGACGCTGAGGCCTGTCGAAAGAGGGAGTCCCAAGATGAAAGGTTCAGTTTTCCTTTCACGAAAAGCGTTTGCACAGCCGCTTAACCAACTCCGTACGTCCTGGGGCTGAGGTAATTAGAAGCAAGCCACCACTGCCTAGACTCTTCGGGCCTCAGGTGCCGGGCTCGGAGACCGGTGGGCCGAATTCTCGCGAGAGCGGTCGCCGCCATTTTTCCATTGATTGCAGCGAACTGGGGGAGGGGCCGACGACGGAGGCGACGGCGGCGGCAGCGGCAGCGGCGGCGGAGCCGTAGGTCGGTGTCTGCACTGTGGTGTCAGGCCCAGGCTGAGGCCTCCGCGGTTGCCGGAGCGCAGGCGGTGGAGCGATGACTGCAGCTACTATTCTCTCCTGAGGTAGAGAGCCGCCGCCATCCTCTCGGCTTCTCCCGGCAGGACGGAGAGGAGCGGCCGGAGTCTGAACCATGGGGCCCGGCGAGGAGAACCAACTGGTCCCGAAAGAGGTGAGGAGCTAGCGGAGGAGGATAGGCCCGAGGCCTGCGGCCGCTCCACACAACGCAGGCCCGGCTTGTACGCGAACTCGGCTGTGGTGGGGGAGGGCGTATATGGTGAGGAATATTTGGTGAAGGGTGTGTGGTGGGTGCGGCGATCAGTTGAGAACGAATTTTATCTTGGGGGGCCGTGAGAGCCAGAGACCTCCCGCCTTGGGTTTGTGGGTTGAACAAATAAAGAAGCAGTGGACTGGAAGGAATTAGGTCTTGTTTAGGGAGAGAAAGTGGCCTTTTACGTATTTATTTAACTTGTGGAGCCAAGGAAGATAATTTCAAAGAAAAAATTCAGGAACAGTTGCTGTTGGGCACGACCGAGTGATGGTCTGCTTCTGGTTTTGACAGTAGCCCTGTGTAGCTTTCAGGGCTTGTGAAATCTACACCCAACTAGCGATCTGTGGGAGGGCAGAGTTAACTGTTAGGACTTTGTTGAACTCCTGTTACTTGGTAGTACTGTTGACCGCCCAAATGGGGCCTACCAAAGTTCTTGGAAAAGTAGTAAATGTGAGTTTGATGTAAAGTGAAAAGGTAGATGAATATACCATATGGCTTACTGAACAACTTTTTGTAGTTGGGTCATGTATGACCAATGTCGTTGACTTCTTAAATTCTTAAAAGCCTGGTTTCTCTTGAATCCTATAGGAGATCAGGGGGTAAAATCCAGCCCTGGCCAATGAATTTCAACATATTAATAGTATCTCTGTTGGACTTATAAATATCTTCACCGTATTCAAATGTATTTTTAACAGGCTGATCATCAGATTAATGCTTTGGATTTTTGTTTCTTGTATACCTTAAATAGAGGCAAGTGTCAGGTTGAGATTAGCTGTGTAGTATCTTGATATGTGTTTATGAGTGATGATCATGAAAATGTCTTAAATACAGAGCGGCTGGAGTGCCAGGGGGGAGGAGGAAAAGAAAATAATGCGAATAGAAGTAAATATTGTTAACTGATGTTACATGAAGGGTACCGGAGTCCTTGTAATGACACAAAGTGTATGATTTGAATGTGGGACTGAAGAGCTGTTTTGTAAACTTTCACTCAATTTACAATAAAAAGTTTTAAAAAACTTAAATCTTTGAATTTTCAGTTGCTGTCTAATTATCTAGTGCTTTTATAACAGAAATGCCACAAGTGGATGGCTTTAACAGTGTATTTTCTCACAGTTTAGGAGGCTAGAAGTACGATTTCAAATTTCTTGGGGAAGTCTTTCTCTGTGGATTCTGAAGGGAGGTCCTTGTTTCTTCAGTTTCTGCTTCCTGGTTCTTTACAGATGGTGGCATCTATTTTACTCCCTCTCCTCTGCTAGTTTGCCAGTTTAATCTCTTTTATATCTCAAAAGACAGAGACTCAAGACACACCCTATACCAATTCTGCTTCATTAGCATAACAAAGACACCACAGACTTTCAAATGGGCTAATAACCACAGTTACAGAAGTTAGGATTCATAACAGGTATTTTTTGGGGACACAATTCAGTCTGTAACTGTTGCTTTGTAGTAATTATTTGCTAATTAAATTCTGGCATTATGCAAAAGTGATATTGTAAACCTATGACATGAAATAGTTTCAGTTTTCTCAGATGGACAGTGATGATTCTTTGTAAGGATGTTTGTATTTTATTATTTAAAGAAAAGGTTATGTGTCAGTATTTATTCAGCAAACATCATTGGCTGTGCAGAGTAGATAAACAGGTGAATTTGAATTCATGCTTATTGTTGTTGTTGTTAGGTGCCATCGAGTTGGTGCCTAACACTGCCCCATCCTGGCCTAAGGTACCTTGTAAGCTACTAAGAAATGGAAAGTTAGTATTTGTTCATCTCCAATGAGGGGGCTAGTTACCTTACAACATGTATATTATACAAGGAAGGAAGTTATAGATTCTATAGGAAAGAGACAAACAGTATTTTCTTTTATTGCCAGTTTTCATTTTTATAGAAAGCAAAGTTAGTCCTTTGTTAATATTTAGATCTCTAGATATAATATGTTTGATATATGGAGTCTTGGTGTGGCACTGTAAGATAAGCACTGGATTGCGAAGTTGGTTTGAACTGCAGGGTCAGCAGTTCAAATCCACTAATTGCTCCTTGTAAAACCTATACAGGTTGTTATGAGTTGGAACTGACTGGACGGCAGTAAATAACAATATAATATAATATAATGCAATATATATATATATATATATACACACACACACACAAGGATGAGTCAAAAATTATCTGTGTGTGGGCTGTAGAATATATTTTAATCAACTTTAGAAAAGACAAATACGTCATTTTCAACATCATCTTCTTGCTTTTCAATATACTTTGTCCACATGTCAACAAGCTTTGTATTCTGTTTTAAAAAAATATTTTAGGCTGAGCTGGGAACCACGAATGCACTGCTGTCTTCACTTTTTCTCCAGAGGTGAATGTTCGTCCTCAAAGGGCTGCTTTTAGGGGCTCAAACAGGTGAAAAGTCCTATGGAGCGAGATCAGGACTATAGGGAGTATGCTTTAACCCCTCAAAACAAAATTTTTGCTGAGTGTCAACAGTGTAGGCAGAGGTGTACGGACATACATTTGCCTTGCAAGATCACAACGCACTTGGATGCAATCCAAAATCCTCTACATGCAATCCGAAGAAGTTTAGACTCTTCAGTGAGCATCTTGCTGTAACAAGCACTTTTGATTGTGGAACCTTTTTCCTGATAGTGTTCCATACTGGCCCCAGAAAACTGTGAGCATCAGTTTTCCAGCTGATGGTTGACTTCTTTGTTGGAATTCTATATTCTGCCATTTACTCTCAGACTCGTAGTAATGAAATCCATGTCTGGTCACCAGTAATGATTTAAGAAACTTTTACCTTCCTTCCAGTATTAGTCCATATTTTGTTTGCAGATGTCCAAATGCTTGTTTATGCTTTTCCATGAGTTGTTTTAGTACCCATCTTGCATAAACTTCTCAAAACCCCAATCTGTCATAGATTATTTCATAGGCAGAGACATGGCTGATTTGCAAATGATTTGCCACATAATCTATTGTCACTCAACTGTATGACAGAATCATTTCATGTGCATGCTCAATGTTGTCAGTATTGGACAGGAGATAATTTTTGACTCACCTTCGTGTGTGTGTGTGTGTGTCTGTAATTCTGCTATAAGAAAACCTAACATTAAATTTATTTTCCTATTGACTTAATTTCTAGAAAACATAATATATACACACACCTTTCCTTACGCTACAGTAATGCTTTTAACTTTTGGAAGCTTAAACATTAAATAACTCTTTATAAACTAATTGTGAAACTGTGGGTTAATGCGCTAGACTGCAAATTTGGTTTGATCTGCAAGGTTGGCGGTTCAAGCTTCCAGTTGCTCCTCAGAAACGCTATACAGGGTTGCTATGAGTTGGAATTGATGCCATGGCACTTAACAACAAAAAGATTAATTAGCTCCGTTACCTGAGATTTCAGGCTCATCCCAACTTTTTTTTCTTTTTGACACTTTTTCTGAACACTTTTTCCTTGATTTTATTATTTCCTTGACTCATCTTTAATCTTTTCTTTTTTTCCCCTGACACTTCTCATGATTCCTGGAAACTTGTGCAGCACTCTCATATCTAAAAACTGTCACTTGAGGTCCTTTCTTTCTTTAGTTAACTTGTTCTTTTTTGTTTGACCATACATCTCAAACAAGTCATCCATCCAAGTGATTGCTTCCACATTTACAGTCCGGTCATCATGAGTCCTCAGTTTTGTTTTGAGATTACTGAAAAGTATTCCTGAAGGTCACTAGTGATTTCTTACATGATCAAATTCATGACTTTTTTTTTTTTCCCCTTCCCCTTCTCTTCCTTGAATTTTCTGTAGCATTTGATAACTTTCCTTTTCTTTTTTTTTTTCAAAGTAAATATACCTTTTAGTAATGCTGTACTTTTCTAGTCTTTTTTCTACTTGCTTGTCCTGTATGTTCACTTGTTTAATAAGGGTCTTTCTCTTCTTTTTAAATGATTACCTTAGTCTGGTCTTTGTTACTGCCTGACTGGTAGTAGTAGAATCACTAGAAAAGTAAACCCCTTCACTTTACAGGTGAGAAAATTAGGGCTAGAGGATTGAAATTGACTTGTTCAGAGCCATATAATGAATAATGGCAGAATTCGGACTAGAACTCAGATAATTTGTTACTATTGTTTGATTATTCTTTATTTCATAATTTCTCCATGTAACCTAGAAGTTCTGTAAGAGTAGTTTGTAACTCTCTCAGTATATTTACTAACATGGAAATAAATTTCAAAATTAAAAATGCTTGTGTCAGTACTAGTGACTTATCAGCAATCTAGAGTTTTTTGAAGACCTTTGTATAGGGAACCTTTGATCCCTATTCTATTTAGCTAATGGTTAAGCTTATCTGTATGTATGTGTATGTATGTTACATGTATGTGTCATTTTGGTCCCGAAAACTTGAGGACAAGGGTACCTTAGAAGACTGCTGAAATAGGCAGCTTACTGTAATATACAGGGTTTCATCATCTGTGACCCATGAGCCAGTGTAGATTGCAGCCTGTTTTTGTAGAGCCTATATGCTAAAAATGATTTTTACATTTTCAGTTGGTTGGGGGGCAAAGTCAAAAGAATTATACTTCATGACTCATGAAAGTTAAATGAAATTCAAGTTTCAATCTTTATATATAAAGATTTTTCTTTTCTTTAAAACAACCATTCCGATGTATTTACTATTGTCTGTGGCTACTTAGAAAGGCAGAATTGAGTAACTGCTATAGAGACTATATGGCACACAAAGTTCACAATACTTACCATCTAACTCTTTACAGCAAAAGTTTGCTGGCCTCTAGTATGATGGGTTTCAAAATGTTATGGAAAGATTCTAGTGTCTTTTACTTTTCCTTGAACTTTTGAAGCCTCTTCATATGACAGAAAGAACAGAGGCATTGGAATCTGACCTGAATTTGAATCTGTAACAAATATCCAAGTATTCATTAGCTCCATGAACTTCTGGCAAATTCCTCAACCTCTCTGTGCCTCTGTGCTTGTTTTCTATTCTGTGAACATGAAATGAGTACTCTTGGTGATGCACTGGTTAAGCTCTGGGCAGCTAACTGAAAAGTCTATGGTTCAAACCCACCAACTGCTTCTCAGGAGACAGTTGTGGCAGTTGGCTTCCTTGAAGATTGTAGTTTTGGAAAACCCAGTGAGGCAGGGGTGCAAGTAGTAATTGACTTGACAGCAAGGGGTTTGGCTTTTTAAATGTGGAATATCTGTCTACCTTTTACTTTCATTCTAGCATTCAGATGTAAATGTGATCTTTTACATGTACTTGTTTTGCTCTCCTCAAAATTTCCTGGATCTTTTTTTCACTTTGCTCTCATACATTATGATCAAGAAAAGGAAAATGAGTGAGAGAAGATTGAAAGAGAAATGGTAGCAAAAAATTAGGAAACAGAAAGCAAAGAAAACAAGTGTAAATGGATCGGATAGGTACATCCCCTTGAGAGATATGAAA